CCTCCAACACAAGCCAGTCTATGATTCTATGATCTCCTGCTTGCCAGGCACCTGCCCTTGGTCCGTGCCAGTCTGCTTTGGCCTGGTGTCTTAGGTCATGTCTTATGTTCCTCTGGCACCTCTGAGAGGTCATGCTGGGGTCTCGTCTCTTCCTCCTGATGTCCCTGTAAATCTCAGAGTGGTTCAACAGCTGCTTTACTGCTGTGTATGTGTTCCTGTGCCTAATTAACCTCTGAGCTTTCCCGCTTTATGTCCCGTCTCCCAGCTCAGCAAATCTGATACTTGTTTCCCATGCTCAGGATGGCTCTGAATTTGCACTATTTCAAAAGGATATCAACTCTTTGTGGATTTGGGAGGCTATATTTCTGAGTAGTGACAATGACATTACTGCCAATGCAGCCTTTCTAGATTGTATAGCCATGATAAGCCTTCCCAGCTTAACCTCTCCATGTGAGATACCTTTACATAAAGCATGCCAGAGTATTGGAGACCATTTTTCTCTACAATTTGCCCTGTTTTGTGGTTCCTTCTTGATATTTAAGTGACTTCTGTTTGCAGATATTTAACTGAACTTTGGGTGCTGTCATCAGCTGTCTCAGTACTTGTGCTGAAGTGAGCTGCTTTGGGCAGGGGACACACTTGTCAGGCTGTTCCCACTAGGGACTCTCTGCAGGCTTTCTTTCAGGGGACCCTCCTCCACTGTATCTGGACACGTCGGTACAGAAATAGGGTGTCATCCCTATGAATCCCTGGGGAGTGACCCGCCAACACCACCTCAGCCTTGCCAGGCTCCCTGCTCGTAATCCTTGGCAGAAAAAACTGCTCTGGGAGGAGGATTTTGTTCTCATCCGTTGTCTGCCTTGTGGGGCCCAGCAATGACTCATTACTTTCTCCAACTCGGTGCCATGCTCTGTTACAGTGTATGCCACATACGCTCATTGACATGAGTTGCTAAACTGAGTCCTTCATTAACTGGGATTAGCTCACCATTATTTTAGTAACAAGAGGTACCACTATCATGGGAAGCATCCAGCCAGAACCACAGACTTCTTTTATATTGAAGGAAGGTCCTTGTTGGTCCTTCTTATTTGGTTGTGTTTTCACTGAGGGATGTAACGAAAAGGATAATTCCACTTTCTGACTCTGAATGCAGAGCATTCGGGATGGTTTTAACCTCTTTGAGATGATGTGCTCCGCTTAAGAACACATCCTGTTGGCATCCACCTCCTCATCCACAGAGTGTTTGCATCCAGTCCTTTCAGAATGACACAAGGGCAACCCAAAATTATTTCGTGGAAAAACTGGTTACAAGTTAGACAGTTTACAACCTCTGTAATGATCTAAAGGACACTGCTGTGGAAAGAAATGATCACAACAGGTTGACTACCAAGCATATGGCATGTATGGAAAAAGTCAAACTATAACTTCCTGTAGATCTGTAGAAGACTGTCAAAGCTCGCTAGGCTAAAGGAATTCCTTGAAGGATTAAGCTATACTGCTGTCCACCATTAGGTTTATACATGGAGTCCAGAAGTTTTCATAATATAGCCTCTGCCTGCTTGTAAAAACATGATGAACTCACACATTTTTAGTTCTGTGGCACAGCTCTTTTTGCCATTTGGTTTAATCTGGGAAGATTGCTGCAGCATCCTCATTTTGGTGGATATAGAGGATCCAGCTGAGAAAAATGTAACAATTTATTCAGCAAGTCAGATTTTTTACTGGTGAGTTCCACCTTTTTCTGGATTGGTTCCCAGGGGAATCACAAAGGGGTTTGGCCTCTCTCCGGGCCATTCAGCACCTTGGAATGTGCCGTAAAATTATTTGCCCTGAACAGCATTACAGGAGAGGCATCCATCAGTTAACTTCATCATCAGCCTTCTCTTCTGAGGGATGTGTTGCTGATGATGAGTCATAAAGACATTGATTTTAAAACTTGCTCTGAATCATAATTGCATTCATAAGACTACATAGCAGCTCCCAGGGATCTACTGAGTTTTTAAATCTATAGTTGATGCCTATTCTTCTCAGTTAAGTACTATATAATGCATAAGATAACCTAGCAATTTTTTATTTTTATACTCATTGCTTTTGGAAAATGGTGTCTTACGTCTGGAAAATTGAGTTAATATGGAAAAAAAGCTTTTTTTTTCAATGCTAGTCTTTGTTTTAAAAAATCCAGTGTAATGGTTCAGTTCGGTGAAACAGTGCGTTGTAATTGAAGGTTAATATCCATATTGAGTTAATATCTGAGGGGTTTCCATCATGATTTGAGATCCCAGTGTTCTAAGTTGCTAGAAATCTGAAACAATGGTTAAAAGTATACAATT